GGACCCCGGCACTCTCACCGGCTCTCATCTGCTCTCTCAGGAGGTACAGGTTCTCTTTCAGGGCGATCTGCATCCACACCAGGCCGATGGACGCCATGACACAGGCAGCGAGGACGATGAACGCACACACCGGAGAGCAGACCTTACAGCACTGCATAACTCCGCCCCTGCTGGAGACATAAACCAATCAGGAAAAGCCAATCACAGCCCCCAGTCATCCTCGTGGAGGGGCAGGAGAAGATGACAGGGGGAGGGGCAAGTCATAAAAGGGGATGGGCATTGGAAAATGTAGTGGGGGAGGGGCAATAAGTGAAGCGGAAGCAGTGGCGGAGGGGCACTAAGTGAAGCGGCAGCAGTGGGGGAGGGGCACTAAGTGAAGCGGCAGCAGTGGGGGAGGGGCAATAAGTGAAGCGGAAGCAGTGGCGGAGAGGCACTAAGTGAATTGAAAAGTAATTGTGGGGGAGGGGCACAATCGTCACTGACCTCCCGCAGCGGCCATGTCTCTCGGTAACGGTGCCGTAGTCCTCGGTGTCCGTGTCACTATCTGTGTCGGGAGCGCGCAGCAATGGATGGTGTCCTCCTCCCCCCTTCTTTTTCCCGTCTCCGGCGAGACCGATCAGAGCGTTCAGCTCCTTCCTCTTCTTCATCTTCTTGTGCGGAGTGGGGGGGGCCGGGGGCCCGGCGGACAGAGCACCGGAGCCCATAACCTTCCGCCTGCCGGATCCCCGGCTGTCACTCATCAGTACCCGCCCCCATCCGTCCTGTTACCCTATTGGGCGCCTGTCCTCCTCCTTCTCTCCGGCGTAGGGTTAGGTGACTCGGCTGTCACTCTTTTTGCCTATTCTCCAGTTTTCGTCTGCTGATCCCGCCCTTTCCGGTCCTCTGCCTCTCCACATCCGTTCTGTGTCTCCGCCCACTTCAACCTTCCGCTGCCCAAGGGGCGGGGTCACTATCCAGCGGCCTTCCTACTACTGAATCCCCGCCCATCTTCCTACATCCTGTCAGTCAGGTGGGACAAATGGTATTCCTCTGTCTAATGAATACTGACTTCCTCATAGAATGTTAATAGATTGGCCAATCATGAACCCAGGTGGGCTGCTACTTATGATACGATTTTCCTGTATATAGTCACTTATTATTCCTTCAAATATTTGACATACTGTACTATGGATGTTAAACTGACCGGCCTATAGTTACCAATGGTCGCCACCAGGGCTTGAGAGGACGGTGGAGCCCGACGAGCAGCTTCCCAGCCGGCCGTTGTGATTACACGGCCGGCCGGGAGCTTTACATTCAAGCGATCGAGCGTCTCTATGGATCATTGCCCTATACACATAGACCACAGCAATAAAATGATCTAGGATGACAGTAAGCTCAGGTGCCCCACTGAAGCGGCGGCCATATTGAGTGGGGCACCTGAGATAAATAACGTGCTGGCTTACTGTCATCCTACATCATTGTATTACTTTATTGCTGTGGTCTATGTGTATAGGGCAATGCCGTGGATGGCGCTCGTGCACAACATGTTTTGTGTGCAAACCTCGTAGTTCTGAGGAAACCGGAAGTCATGCGGTCCCACAACTCGATAAGTTTGTACTTTCGATCGATCACAGGCACGGCTCTGTGACAGGAGATCAAAGGGAGTTCAGTATATGAACTCCCTTTGATCTCTCAGTTCCCGAAAGCAGGAAGTGATGTATATTACATCACTTCCTGCATTCAGTGTCACTCTCCAGCTACAGAAGCTGCTGAAGAAGATCTCGGCTTCATCAGCTTCTCTGGGGGTCTCTAGGTGACATTAGGGGTCTTGGAGACCCCTGTTGTCTTGCCGCGAACGTCGCAGTGAGAGCAATAATTGTAGGGCCATCAATCACTGATGACACTAAACCGATGAGCAGTAAAAGCATTTTAAGCGCCGCCTATGGGCGCTTTTTGCGATTTTGCAGGCGTCGCAATTTTAATGCTTGACATGTTTGGTGTCTATTTACCCGACGTGACCCCGATCTTATATTTTACCAAAAATATGGGTATAAATGTTTTATAACATAGTGTAGAGAAATGTTTTTTTCTTTTAAATTTACGGTACTTTTTTCATTATATAGTAAAAAAAAATAACCCCGAGGTGATTATATACCTCCAAAAGAAAGCTCTATCTGTCCCCCAAATATTTTAACATAAATTGCAAGGCCATAGTGCGGCCATGCTGACAATTTTTTACTGACTGGTGAGACACCCTAAAATTTTTCAAGCCCTGGTCGCCACCTTTTCTTCAAGAGAAACCCGAACACTCCAGTGACGCACGGAGATTTTTTTGTGAGAATGACTCGTAGATTATTCATATGTAAATATCACAGGTGAGACTATTCTCAGTGGGGGGCCAGTAGCCGCTATCTTAATTTTGGTTGCCCCTGTTTGCCTGACATTTTGTGTCCGGGTTTCCGCTGCCATGAAACCTGGACACGGCATTGAAAACCCGGACTGTCCGGGTGAATCCTGGACCGGTGGCAACCCTATAGTAACCCCGTGTACTCCGCTTCCCCATTTTATATATTTGCACCACATTTGCTTTCTGCCAATCAGCTGGCACCATGCCTGACATTAAAGTGTTACTAAAGATTATGAACAGTAAATCACCTGGCTATTTTAGTAGCCAGGTGAGCACCTGTGGTGAGCACCCGTGGATGTCACCCATCTGGTCCAGGAGATTTTTAGGCTCTTTTTTACTCTCTGACAGCCGCTGTGATATGTTAGATCTGTTGTCACCGGAGCTGCTGCCTTGTTCTTTATCCCCTTCTGACACATCAGCTTTCTCCCCGTCACTAGCAGCCTGCGTCCCGTTTTCATCTGTTATGGGGCCTACATGTTCCGCCCTTACCCCGTTACTATTTATAGATTTAAAGAATTTCTTGGGGTTCCTTTTGCTTTCTGTTTCTATGTTTTCTTCGTATTCTATTTTTTGCTTTTTTCCATCTCTTGTTGTTTTCCTGGTAGTGTTTGGTGGTGACCCCTCTGACTCACACTTTTTGAAGTCCTTTTCCCTTATCTGTGGATTTACTTTGCTATATAACCTCCCTGCAGTGGCGTAACAACCTGGGGGGCAGCAGGGGCGCGGGCCCCGGGCGAAAAGTGAAGGGGGGGGTGCCGGCTGAAAATGAATCTCTGATTCAGAAGTTCTGGCGGGGAGTGTTGGGGTCTACCTCAGAGTGACGGGCGTCGAAATAGCTAACAACCCTAAGATACTACTGCTTTCGATGCTTCCTGGGTCGCTGAAGTCAGCAAAAAGGGGCCTCCTGCAACACTTTCTCACGGCAGCTCAGACGGTCATACCACGCCACTGGCGTACACCAGTGGCCCCTACTTTGGTTGAGTGGGCAGTGGAGATGGACCGCATAGCAGACCTAGAAGGCCTCTTGGCCGAGGAGTGTGAAACTGGAAATGTATACGTACACACCTGGTCTACATTTACATCCTTGAAGCTTCTGAGTGGTGGGGCCTCCGGCTCCTGGCTCAGTCACACCTGGACCAATGTATTTACCACCAATTGCCTTGCCAGCTTGGACATCTTACAACTTAAACTGTGTAACGTTTGCTCTGAATAAGTGGCTAACTGAAAACTTTTTGTCACCTATTGTATCCCACCTGGGATAGCATATCGCTTCCCCCTTTTCTATTGTCATTTATATATATTTTTGTGATTTCTACCTTTTATCTGTGGTTGTATTCTTTGGTTTGTATTGCAAAAATATTACAATAAACTCAGATTGCACTAAAATCACTTCTCCATTAAAAACAGTATTTTTAAAAAGTGTTTTTTTTCATTGATTCCTGTCCCCTAGGACAGTACCCAGATCCCCATACATGTCCCCCAGGATAGTACCCGGACCCCCATACATGTCCCTCAGGGCAGTACCCAGATCCCCATACATGTCCTCCAGGGCAGTACCCAGACCCCCATACATGTCCCCCAGGGCAGTACTCAGATACCCATACACCTTTTATGGCCAATAACTTGCGTATAAGCCCTCTTAAAGGGGACGATTGTTTTTGAAAGTTCTACCCCCATAGACTTGCATTGCGGTCAAGTTCGAATTCCAACTTTTTGGATGTTTGAAAGTTCGATTTCGAACCAAACTCGGACCTGTTTGGCTCATCACTACCGGAGAGGACTAGATAATGTATCTGCCTTTAAAGGGTCGGGTTCCTCTAATGATTAGGCTCAGTGTATTGCTTATGTATCTGATGAGAGTCTAATCAGATACTTAAGCAAAATACTGAGCCGGTCAACACACGGTTAATGTGATCACACAGTTTGCTGGGGCTGTGCACCGATCAGGGTGCAAACAAGGTGCCAGACAGTCAGAGCCTCGGAACTCACCCTCCATCCCACTCCCCCCCCCTCTTCTCATCTATTTCCCCACCATCAGCAACATCCTCACTGCCCTCCAGCCGCCTCTGGCTTCTGCCCATCATCCAGCACACACACTTCTGTTAACTCATCCCTATCTTAGCAGCATCCTGATCGTCTCCAGGACTCACCTATCTGTGATGTGAGGCTGGTCTCCATATCACCAGAAGCGTGGGACCTCGGCAGCCACATCTGTACCAAAAATGTAAAGTTCCGGTAATGGCACTCAGAAACCGGACTGTCCGGGTGAATCCGGGATGGGTGGCAACCCTAATGTCCAGGCCTGAAGGCTGGGGACTAGCCATGGGATGACCCTGGAGCCTGGTGGCAGCAGTTCCAGTGGCTTCTACTACTGAAGACAAGGATCAGTAACTTCTACCTCAAGTAATGCAGTGTCAGCTGTTCAACCTGCTGGGCACGGAAACAGTAACCACATTCTGAAAGGCCATGAAGTCTACGTCTGCCTGGATGATCATAACCCTCCTCCACTCTCCCTGAAGTTCCTCAATAAAAGCTTCAAGCATAAGTCTGGACCTCACTTCAACCGATCCCCAGAAAGGGCGGTAAGTGCTGATGGGCAGAGCAAATGAATGTATTCTTACACAAGAAACATTTGGAGTTGCTTTTACCCATAGCAACCAACCCTAGTAACTCAAGGTGTGCTGTGTACTCATAATAGAGGTTTCTTATAGAGGAAAGACAGGGAGACCCATTATCTCATGTTATTGTAGATAAACCCTTCAGAGCCGCCGGAAGTGATGTCCTGTGCTGGGATACCACTGACCAGGGAAGGGGGGCGCTACATAGGAAAGCGGTTTTAACGTCTAGGTGTTTCACATGCATGCCCGTCCCGGCTGTGCGGCTGTGATGCGAAGGAGTGTACTGATGGTGGAGTGTTTTATGACGGAATATGTCATCGTAGTCTTCTCCAAATTTGTGGAAGTATCCCTTGGCAACTAATCTGGCCTTGTATTTGTGAATATTTCCTTCTGCGTAGAGCTTCACCGTAAAAGTCCATTTGCTTCCTATAGTTCTGCGATCGGGGGTGGGGGGGTGTGGGTGCGGTATAAGCTTTGCAAGTGTCCAGGTTTTATATTCTTTTTTCAGGTTGTTCAGCAGAATGTAACATGGAACTTGACTTCCCCATTGTGAGCTCCGCCTCTTGTTCTGACTCCTGTGCGGCTTCACTTCCCGGGATGATTGTTCCTGGTGACGGGTTCTCATGGAAATAAACGCTGCGACTTATTGTCACTTTGTCAGTCTGCGGGTGGAAGATTCTATATCCCTGTAACTCACCAGAATACCTCCAATGGCCGTGTTCTCCGACTCAGATCTCTTCTCCTCTGGAATATAGACGTAAGCTTTACATGCA